TAACCTTGTGAAGTAGTTACACTTTACTTCAATCTAAACAATAACCTTGTGAAGTAGTTACACTTTATTTCAATCTAAACAATAAACCTGTAAAGTAGTCACACTTTACCTCAATCTAAACAATAACATTGTGAAGTAGTTACATTTTATTTCAATCTAAACAATAACCCTGTGAAGTAGTTACACTTTACTTTAACCTAAACAATAACCTTGAGAAGTAGTTACACTTTAACCTAAACAATAACCTTGTGAAGTAGTTACACTTTACTTTAACCTAAACAATAACCTTGTGAAGTAGTTACACTTTACTTTAACCTAAATAATAACCTTGAGAAGTAGTTACACTTTAACCTAAACAATAACCTTATGAAGTAGTTACATTTTATTTCAATCTAGACAATAACCTTGTAAATTAGTTACACTTTACTTCAATCTAAACAATAACCTTGTGAAGTAGTTACACTTTACTTCAATCTAAACAATAACCTTGTGGAGTAGTTACACTCTATTTCAATCTAGACAATAACCTTGTGAAGTAGTTACATTTTATTTCAATCTAGACAATAACCTTATGAAGTAGTTACATTTTATTTCAATCTAGACAATAACCTTGTGAAGTAGTTACACTTTATTTCAATCTAAACAATAAACCTGTAAAGTAGTCACACTTTACCTCAATCTAAACAATAACATTGTGAAGTTGTTACACTTTATTTCAATCTAAACAATAACCTTGTGAAGTAGTTACACTTTATTTCAATCTAAACAATAAACCTGTAAAGTAGTCACACTTTACCTCAATCTAAACAATAACATTGTGAAGTTGTTACACTTTATTTCAATCTAAACAATAACCTTGTGAAGTAGTTACACTTTACTTCAATCTAAACAATAACCTTGTGAAGTAGTTACACTTTACTTCAATCTAAACAATAACCCTGAGAAGTAGTTACACTTTACTTCAATCTAAACAATAGCCTTGTGAAGTAGTCACACTTTACTCAATCTACTTTTCCCTAACAGCAGCAACAGTTAAAGAAAAAATAATTGTGATATTTCTAACCTGGTGTATTCTTAACACAGGCCTGTTATGTGTAGTAATCCAAATTACATTTTCGAAACAATAAATTATTCATTAGTACAAAAATCGAACAAGTAATTCAATAATTGAATTTCTAACATAGCCAGTGGTTCCATTACGGAGCCAATAATTTTATTAACGGCAGAAAAGTAAGACACGTGGTTCTATAACCAGTAAACACTCTAATTTAACTAATAATTGCTATCATAGCCAGTGTATTAACAGCAGAAAAGTAAGACACGTGGTTCTATAACCAGTAAACACTGTAATTTAACTACAAATTGCTATCATAGCCAGAGGTTCCATTACGGAACCAATAATTTGATTAACGGTAGAAAAGTAAGACACGTGGTTCTATAACCAGTAAACACTGTAATTTAACTACTAATTGCTCCCGTAGCCAGTGATTCTATTGTGAAACCAGTACTTTTATTAGCAACACAGAAATATAGCGAATGTTTTTTTAACAACTACACACCATATTTTAATTATTGAATTCATGATGCAAGAAAAACACGAAAGTTCAAGAACTCGTGATGGAAATGAATAAAAACCCGAGCGCTTTCGATAGGTGGACCTTTCTTCTTCAGGGATTGATAGAGGTTATGAACCTGATATTATAGATAGGATTGATAGAGGTTATGAACCTGATATTATAGATAGGATTGATAGAGGTTATGAACCTGATATTATAGATAGGATTGATAGAGGTTATGAACCTGATATTATAGATAGGATTGATAGAGGTTATGAACCTGATATTATAGATAGGCTTTATAGAGGTTATAAACCTAATATTATAGATAGGATTGATAGAGGTTTGAACCTGATATTATAGATAGGATTCATAGAGGTTTGAACCTGATATTATAGATAGGATTGATAGAGGTTTGAACCTGATACTATAGATAGGATTGATAGAGGTTATGAACCTGATATTATAGATTGTCAACCATTGTCAACAAAATATAATATGTTCATGAAAAATACGAGTTGTCAAATAACCTTTATTCCTCAGTTAAGATTAATTAACCTTGCTATATCGGTGTTAAAGATAAAATTGAAGTAAAGGATAAATGTGGAATATACAAAATTTCTTGTAGTTGTGGTTTAAGTTACATCAGACAGACAGGTTTGAAACTTAGAATTAAAGAACATGAAAATGCAGTTGATAAATCAAAAACTAGAGATTCGGTCTTGTCGGTACCTGTGGCGATCTCTTCATGTAATATTGATTAGAATAAAGTTCAAATACTTAAAGAAGTAAAGTTATAAAATGAATTAAACACAAGAGGATCGTTAGAAATTGCTAAAAACAAAATCATTTTGAATAGTGATTTAGGTCTTGGTTCTAGAGAAGCAAGTATCTGGAAATCAATATTGTAAATGGTATCACTGTGAGAGATGCAACTTGTACATGTACATTTAGTTGGTATATTACTGGAATTTTCTATGTCTTTCTTGTCTCTTAAAGATGGAGGAGCATGTTCCAATGAAACATTTTAAGTTTATACAATAAATTATTGTACATTTTAAAACGTTGGAATCGTTAACCGATTTTATTAAATCCTTGTAGAATAACTGTCAGTCGAATATATTTAATAGATACTAACAAGGATAATGTTTTGTATACTATCAAAATTTAAAAGCATGCCTAATCTACTGTTGGATGAGACGAAATGGATAACACTCCCTATGAATATTATTAGACCAAAAACAGATCCTTGTGTCATTTTATAGTTAAAACTATTTTCCATTGTTAACCATTTACCTTCACTGGCATATAAATATACAATACGTTTTACTTTCTGTAGTTTTACTTTTTCCATTGTTAACCATTTATCTTCACTGGTTTGTAAATATATAATACGTTTTACTTTCTGTAGTTTTCCTTTTCCATTGTTAACCATTTACCTTCACTGGTTTGTAAATACACAATACGTTTCACTTTCTGTAGTTTTACTTTTTCCATTGTTAACCATTTACCTTCACTGGTTTGTAAATACACAATACGTTTCACTTTCTGTAGTTTTCTTTTTCCATTGTTAACCATTTACCTTCACTGGTGTGTAAATACACAATACGTTTCACTTTCTGTAGTTTTACTTTTTCCATTGTTAACCATTTACCTTCACTGGTATATAAATATACAATACGTTTCACTTTCTGTAGTTTTACTTTTTCCATTGTTAACCACTTACCTTCACTGGTTTGTAAATATACAATACGTTTCACTTTCTGTAGTTTTACTTTTACAGTTTAATGTCTCTTGAGACTTTGCACATTTCAAACATAAAATATAATGTTAGTTTTATCTGTACTTATACTGCAAATAAAGAAAAGTGATACGAGGTTGATATCTAGAAACCTGACAGAGAATTTGACAATATATAATTAATAACAGACATAGACGGTACTATTATTGGATTACAAAGAAAGCCACATTGTCTAACATACACACATACACTTAAACACATGAACAATATTGTATACTTACTTATCGGCAATTGTTCCTTCTGTTGATTCTAAAAATACCAGAAAAAGTTACTGGGTGAGATTTAATGCTTAAAATATTACTGTAAACAAGATAATACAGAAAGTTACCAATCCAAGAAAGTTAACTAACCCTTTCATTCAGTTTTGTACATAATATTCAAATAGGAAGAAATATCTATGCTAAATTCTGACGCCAGGTCGAAAGCCAATGAGGTTTGCTTGAAGAAAGTCATATTATGTAATTATAAGACGTAATGTAATAAAAAAAAGAAAGCCGAACTTTATAAAGAGCGAAACTGTATTTAAAAAAATACGAAACTTTAGTTTTACAACGTTTCCTTTATCAAACTAACACGTAAACTCCTTCTGATTAACTGCATTCTGATATTATGATGGCAAGAATGAATGATATAAGCCTCGCTCACATTAATTATACTCGTAAATCACAGCATCATCGACAAAAATGATAAAAGAAAACAATGGGCATGAAAATTATACACAGAACGACTGTTCACTTCTAGCAAGATTAAGGAACGTCTTCACAATCTTTTCATTTGATTCGTTGTACAGACTGTTCAAAATGGTTGTACGTATTTCCAAACTTAATAGCTTTTAATTTAATGATAACGGCATGCGGTAAAATACATTTTAGTCTAAAAAGTAACATTTTATTTGTTTTTGTCAGTTTAGGCCTAAATCACAATTCAAGGATTTTTCCTAACCAATCATCATTTCTCTAATGTCTATTGACGAAGAAATTCGGTTCTGTTGTTCTCTGTGCAAAGACACTCCTGGTAGGTCTATCAATCACAAGTACCACCGAACAGTGCAACAAACAGTTCAATAACACAGGATCTGGTGTCCAAAGACACTCCTGCTAGGTCTATCAATCACAAGTACCACCGAACAGTGCAACAAACAGTTCAATAACACAGGATCTGGTGTCCAAAGACACTCCTACTAGGTCTATCAATCACAAGTACCACCGAACAGTGCAACAAACAGTTCAATAACACAGGATCTGGTGTCCAAAGACAATCCTGCTAGGTCTATCAATCACAAGTACCACCGAACAGTGCAACAAACAGTTCAATAACACAGGACCTGGTGTCCAAAGACAATCCTGCTAGGTCTATCAATCACAAGTACCACCGAACAGTGCAACAAACAGTTCAATAACACAGGACCTGGTGTCCAAAGACAATCCTGCTAGGTCTATCAATCACAAGTACCACCGAACAGTGCAACAAACAGTTCAATAACACAGGATCTGGTGTCCAAAGACACTCCTGCTAGGTCTATCAATCACAAGTACCACCGAACAGTGCAACAAACAGTTCAATAACACATGATCTGGTGTCCAAAGACACTCCTGCTAGGTCTATCAATCACAAGTACCACCG